GGAAGAACCTAATCTGTCGCTGGAAAAATAGAATTAGATCTAATCTGACTAAAACCACAGTCGTCGCGTAGCCCGGTTGTCGCCAAAATAATTATCTACATAAGAGTACGTGTTGTTGGGGGTCAAGGTTCTTGGTGCTGTTATCACACGTGATGCAGTGCTCTGGATCAGGGGCTGTCGATGGCTCAAGACCGACCATACGTGGCGAAGAGTCACACCCTGCGAGAGGTGCCCCTGCTTTTTACTGAATATGGCGGATCTAGAGAGAACAACTCGATAAAATCCGTAAGTCCAGGTGTTAATCGGACCGTGCCTGCGGACTGAATGGCACTACGTTAGTGTGTCTTTTTAAGGTGTACTCCAGTCACGTGGCGCCGTCTGGTTTTATTTAGTCTTTCCGGGGTACCGGGGCTCTGCCTCGGATGACCTCTCTCTTCCCCCTTACTCGTGGGATTCTATGGAAGTAAAACAAATTAATAAAAAAAACAATAAAAGCTATGTGCCCTCTAACAGTGGGCAACAGTCAGCAGTCTCAGAGGTGCACGCGATGCCCAACGAGATTGCTGAACAAATGGCGATTGCAGCGGACGAACTGGGTGCAAATCCAAACGGCCAAGGCGCTCAACCCTCTCGGGACGCTGTAATGGACGAAATGGACTTTGATCCAAACGGCCTTCTCAGCAACCCGGTGGCCATGGATGTCGATACTGCCAAAATGGACTCTGGTTCAAATGGCAACGACATCCAAATACCCACAGACGAGGAGGAGGCGCTCTTACCGATGTCACAAAGGCGCCGACCTGTCAGGCGGACATTGGTAATGGGGTTAAGTTAGGGTTACTCCTCAAAGGGTACCCTAAGGCACTTTGGTCCTTAGACCAACTACAGGCCATTCAGACGGCCATCCTGGAGGAGGTGAGGCGGCAGCGAAAGGGCTCTGTGAAGCCCAAGTTTAGCGGTTGCACCTTCCGTCCGGGATGGATGTCCATTGGCTGCGGAGACGCTGAAACGCTGGAATGGCTGCGCAAGGTATCCCAAACCCTGAAGCCTTGGAAGGGCGCGGAAATTGTGGCAATGAATGCCACTGACGTGCCCAAAACCCAGTGTATACGTTGGGTACTTTCCGGAGCCATCAACCACTCCAGTGGACAGTATCCTTGGCCTTGTCGAGGGTCAGAACGAAGGGCTGCGGGTAGGTAGCTGGAGGGTGCTCAACAGGGTACAGAAGGGACCCACCACTGAGCTCACCCTAGCGGTTGACCCGCACTCAGCGGAGACACTCGACAGGCTGGGATACCTAGTCAATTATGGATATGGCAGGGTGCGCATCCATTAAAAAGGGAAGACGACTGAGTCGTCAGACCCGAAGGGTACACAGCCTGCTATAGCCAGTTCCTCCTCCACTGCACAAAGTGCGTGCTTTAAAGAGGGACCTTGCGGTTCCAAGGACGTACCCAAGGGACTGCAAAGGTCACCTTCAGAGCAGTCAGGGGCAGCGGAGAAGGAAAAAGCACCTGTCCAGGAGTCCATAGAGCGGCCCTGCTGCTCAGAAGACACTCCTGGCACGGAAAATAGGGTACCTTCCAGCCCAGAGAAATCAAAGGCCCCTTTCGCCCAAAATCCCTTCCGTCCTCCGCTAAATGCGAATCGGAGACAAGGTCGAGGGGAGATTTCAATGGAGGAGAAGACCCTGATGGCCACCAATAGGGGGAAAAATATGGCCAAGCGGGCTTCAAGGCCGAAAAATGGCAAACCCCCCAAGCGATAGGCCTAGGCACATCAAGTGCCTGCAAGTGAACCTCCATCATGCAAAGGCGGCCTCTGACGTCTTATGCAGGAGGTTCAAAACAGAACTCTTGGATGTCGCATTCATCCAAGAACCGTGGGTTTTTGCCGGGGCTATTAAAGGCCTAAACGACTGTGATGGTAAGATAATTTACGATACCAGACACTGCAGGCCCAGAGCGGCCATATTACTACGTAATAACATGACTTTTGTTCCCATTTCAGAGTTGACACAACAGGACTTAGCTGCTGTATGGACTAAAGTGCCCACTCAAATGGGAGAACAAGAGGTCGTTCTCGCTTCAGCTTACCTCCCAGGCGACAGCTGTGAGATGCCCACAAGGGAAGTAATAGCCCTAGAGGAGTACTGCAGAAGGAGAAAGCTGAAACTAGTAATGAGCTGTGACGCCAATGCCCATCACTGTGTTTGGGGTAGCTCGGACACCAATTCTAGAGGTGAGTCATTTCTTGAATTTATCACTAAGAACAATTTATTTATTCTTAACCGAAGAAGGTCTAAAAGGGCTACGTGGCGTGAGCATTGCGGAAGTATTTCCTCTCTTCCAGAGGTGCATCGCCTTCAGAAGGCCCTTAAACTAGATCATCTGAAAGTCCTATGCACTTTGAAAAGACCAGATGGTACCTACACTGGCACCCCGGAAGAAACCAGCAGGCTTCTGCTAGAAACCCACTTCCCGGGATGTATTCCACAAGGCACATGTCTTTCGACAAACACGGCGAACGCTGTGTGCGCAAACAGGAGGACTAGAGGCCTAGCAGGAAGAATCGTCAGTGTGGAAACGATATCGTGGGCCATTTCAACCTTTAGTGCATATAAATCCCCTGGTCCAGATGGTATCTACCCATGCCTGCTGCAGCAGAGCTTGGGCTTAATATCTGGGTCACTAGTCAGATTGCTGAGAGCAAGTCTCTTACTTGCTCACATACCAACAACATGGAGTGAAGTCAAAGTGGTCTTTATACCCAAAGTGGGGAAAAACTCAGCACAACTCCCAAAGGCGTATAGGCCAATTAGCCTCAGTTCCTTTCTAGTAAAGAAACTAGAAAAACTTATTGACTTTCACATAAGGGATAACTTTCTCAGGAATAAGCCTCTGTGTCAGAGTCAGCACGCATACCAGGCAGGCAAATCTACTATTACTGCAATACATAGCCTAACTCAAGTCATTGAAAAGGCATTGCGGTATAAACAGATAGCTTTGTGTGCATTCCTGGACATATCAGGTGCTTTCGACAATACGTCTTATGAAGCAATATCGACAGCTATGATACGAAAGGATATTCCTGTCCTTCTAACGGATTGGATCATAAGCATGTTGAGGTCCAGAACCATAATAGCGGAACTAGGAGACAACAGGCAAGCAGTAAATGCCACCCGTGGCTGTCCTCAAGGGGGAGTCTTATCGCCCCTACTTTGGACACTGGTTGTTGACGAACTTCTTGAAAAGCTAAATGGCAATGGATTCAAGGCATATGGATATGCAGATGACCTAGTCATCTACGTTGTCGGCTGGAATGAGGACACAATTTGTTCCAGATTGCAAGCTGCGCTCAGTCTAACGGAAGACTGGTGTGCTTCAAAGGGATTGTCAATAAACCCGCAGAAGTCCACCGTTGTCCCATTTACCAATAGAAGGAAAGTCAACTTGACTAAACCCACATTGGCAGGGACAGAAATTGAGTTCTCAGAAGAGGCGAAGTATCTAGGGGTAACTCTGGACAAAAGGCTGAATTGGAACTCACACCTCCTTAACATTACCAACAAGGCTACAAGGGCGTTTTATGCCTGCCAGAGACTCCATGGTAAAACTTGGGGAATATCACCCAAACTAACGTATTGGTCTTTCAATACGGTCGTGAAACCTCATATGCGGCACTGGCCTGGTGGCCAAAAGCAAAGAAAGTTGCTGTAAAGCGATAATATCTATGATTGACAAAGGGTCCCAAGTATGGTATACCGATGGATCAAAGATGGAAGACGGGAGTACTGGGGCAGGCGTGCTTGGACCAAGGTTCCAGAAAAGTCTGCCAATGGGCTCATACCCAACCATATTCCAGGCGGAGATCTTCGCAATCGAAGTCTGTGTTCGAGAATGTCTTCGGAGAAGGACAAACGGGGCCAGAATAAATATTATGTCGGATAGCCAGGCAGCACTAAGGGCCTTAGACTCATTTAAAACGACATC